TACGTAAGGGATGCATTGTGTGTTTCTGTGTGTAAGGGAGGCAGTGTGTATGTAAGGGATGCATTGTGTGTTTCTGTGTGCAAGGGAGGCAGTGTGTATGCAAGGGATGCATTGTGTGTTTCTGTGTGCAAGGGAGGCAGTGTGTATGCAAGGGATGCATTGTGTGTTTCTGTGTGCAAGGGAGGCAGTGTGTATGCAAGGGATGCATTGTGTGTTTCTGTGTGTAAGGGAGGCAGTGTGTATGTAAGGGATGCATTGTGTGTTTCTGTGTGAAAGGGAGGCAGTGTGTATGTAAGGGATGCATTGTGGGTTTCTGTGTGTAAGGGAGGCAGTGTGTATGCAAGGGATGCATTGTGTGTTTGTGTGTAAGGAAGGCAGTGTATATGCAAGGGATGCATTGTGTGTTTCTGTGTGTAAGGGAGGCAGTGTGTATGCAAGGGATGCATTGTGTGTTTCTGTGTGTAAGGGAGGCAGTGTGTATGTAAGGGATGCATTGTGTGTTTCTGTGTGTAAGGGAGGCAGTGTGTATGTAAGGGATGCATTGTGTTTCTGTGTATGTGTGCAAGGGATGCATTGTCTTTTTGTGGAATGGATGCATTGTGTCTTTCTCTGTGTTTAAGGGAAGCATGGTGTGTGTGTGTGTGTATGTATATGTGTAGGGATGCATTGTGTGTTTCTGTGTATTTATAGGGATGCATTGTCTGTGTTTGTGCAAAGGCCTCTTTCTAATTAGGCGATTAAGGCGGCTGCCTAAGGCCTCATGCTGGCCGCCTAAATTGCCTAAGGGTAGACTTACATGTGTGGGTCCTCTGTCCATGACACTCCCACACACACTATCACCCCTTTATCCCTGCCACACTTACTTTAACCCCTCCTGATCCTGTCACACTCACCCCCTCCATTCAAACCGCACTCACCTTCCCTCGCTCTGCCACACTCCCCCCCAATCCTGTTACACTCACCTCTTCTCTCACTGTTACGCTCCTGTGACGAGACCAATCTCGCCACATTGCATTGGAGAAGCCTGGTTGCTCGCCTGCTGCCTCTGGACTATGGCCCCCTTTTAAAAGACTTTATTTCGCCTGGAGAAAAGCTGTATTCGTGCTTTTCTGCCAGTTGTTCAGTAGATTCAATCTACCGAACAACCGCACGAATGAATAGACCACCTGGGAGCTGGAGTGTGCCGGCAATTAACCTCCCTGAAGCTGCGGTTAACCGCAGCTTAATTGACGAATGCTGGGTGGCCGCCATTCGTATCCTGAACACGAGGTCGCGGCCATTTTAAACATACAAATGCACAGCGGTGTTCGCCCCTATTTTCATGGAACTAAAATCGGACACAGTTTTGCGCGAACACCGCTGAAGCCGCCGACCTCCCTTCTTGTTCGGTGGAAGTGCACGAACGGCCCGGTGTTCGGTAGTTTTGGTTGAATGTGTTATACCCCAGATAGGAATCCCATGGAGCCCATTCGTATGAAACTGACTGTAAAGACTTTGGCTCCATGGCGATTAAACTGTATTCGTGTGGTCTGAGCGCCATTCGCTTAATAATGTGCGCTCAGACCTGAGCTATCTGGGGATATGTTACATGTCTGTGTTTTATGTAATAAATGTTACTTTATGTATTTTAAAGTATAATACTGGTTTTGTATCCCCACATGTGTAATGGAGTTTTGCCTTTGTCTTGGGAGATAATTTAATTACTTCCCAATTATCTCCCAGGGCAGAGGGAAGGAAGCCAGGATGCATTGTGGGAATATATTGTGACTGTGTGTCCTATTTGTCTACTTGTCTGTCTTTTGTCACAGTCTCCCATTTGGTCCCCTAGGGGAGTGTCCACCAGGTGGGAGACCTGCATAAATGCTGGGCAGGTAGCCCTCATTAAACAGACCACTGCTTGACCCTCAACACAGAGCCTTGTCTCATTCTTGGGGGGATTCACTGTATGCTGTTAGAGACTGATTGCCAGGAGTGTAAGCTGATTGTCTGCTTTTCCTGTTCGTCTGCTAGCAGCTATTTGGGAGGTTCCAGTTCGGGAGTTGGAGTGCTATTTTGTATCCAGTTCGGGAGTTTGGCGTTCTGCAGTAGCTGTGCCTGTATCTCTGGAAAGGGGGCCAATCGCCTAAACGGTTTTTACCCCTTGTGTGCAAAACGGTCCGTTACAGCTCCCCACTCCTCTTCCTGTCACACTCCCTCCTCCAACCCTGCCACACACACCCTGTTGCATTAAAACTTCTTATCCTGTCACATACCCCCATTACTCTGCCACTCACCCTGTGAATTAACCCCCTTAATCCTGTCACATTCATCTCCCATTGCCCTGTTAAACTCACTCCAATAATGCTATATACACCCCAACCCTGTGATACTCACCTCTCCAACCAAACCACATTCACTGTCACATAAACAGTTTAATCCTGTCACGCTTACCTCCCCTCAAACTGTAACACTCCCTCCTCCATGTCACAGTTGCCCTCCCTCATCCTCACACTCACCCCCAACCCTATCTCATTCACCCCCTCATCCTGTCAAACTCACCCTGCCACAGTTTCCCCTTTACTCACCCTGTCACAGTCATCCTTGAAGACAATCATCATACACACATAAAGTCATAAAACATAGCTTCGCCATATAAAAGTGCACAAAGGCCACAGGCAGCCCCCATATACACAAAACACAGCAAGCAGCTACCACACACACATACGGTCCCAGACACAAACATACACATGCTCACAGAACATGTGACTATATGTTTGTATTAGTCAATATTTGTGTCTCTGTGCATCAGTGTGTTTGTGTGTGTATGCATGTGCATGTATCAGTGTGTATATGTATTTGTATATTAGTGTTTATGTGTGCATGTATTATTGTGTGTGTCTGTCTGCAATGTGGTTGTGATATGAATGCAAAGATAAAGTTGCAAACAACATATATACATATTATATGCATACATACATATACAATACATGGGGAAACAAATATACGATAATATACATGTAAAGGAATTTAGAATATGTGGGGAAATGTCTATGACATTGTTTTCTTATCTGTAACTTTATTATTTGGAAAAAGATTTTTTAGAAGCCCAACCAAAATGTTCATTTTTCAAATAACCCCTTCACACTAGCACTTATGTATACTCGACTCCCAGGCTATACAAACATACCCAGCAATCATGTAATGATTAGCAAATTATGCCATAACTACAGTCAAAGTGCTCACAGCGCTGCGGCATAGGGAGCTGCGACAATGCAAGCCTCTGAAGATGAATACATCTCTGTATCCAAAGCTGCAAGCTCGCCCTTCAATGGTGTTAGTGGGGGGGCCTCATGTTTGAGTTTCACCTAAGGCCTCACAAAGTCTAGAGCCGCCCCTGTGTGTATGTATTGTGAAAGAGAAAGTTTGTGGGGTAGGATAGGGGCTCTTCATTTTTATTATTATATTTATTTTGTTAATATAATCTTTTTTTAAATGTTTTGCGTCTTACATCCCCCTTTAGTGTATCTCTTACAAGGCCCTTGTTTGTCTCTTATCCCCCCTCTTTGTATGTCTCCTACGTCCTCCCAACTCTTTGCGTGTCCTACTCCCCCAGCTCCTTTGTGTGTCTCCTTCCCAAGCCCCTCTGTGTCTCTCTTTCCCCCCTTCCTTAGCCTCTCTGAGTGTCTTCCACTCCCTTGTCCCTTAATAATCTCTTTCATCCCCCCCCCATCCCATGGTGGTCTCCTTTCCTCCCCCTGTCCCTTAGTGCTCTCTCCTACCCCCGTCACTTAGTGCTCTCTCCTACCCCCTGTCCTTTAGAGCTCTCCCCTGCCCCTTAGTGGACTCTCCTCTCCCCTACCCTTCTTAGTAGTCTCTCCTCTGTCCTTCCCCTTCCCCCCCCAGTGGTCTCTTCTCCCCACCCCTGCTGGTCTCTCCTCTTCCCTCCCCTATTGGATGCAAAATGCATCATTGCCTGTGTAGTCAAAAATCCTTGCACCGGCTCTGTGTATTTATGCATGTGTGTTTGGGGGGTGAAGGTATGTGGGTGAAGAGATAATGTGTGTGAGGGGTGCACTGTGTTGATGGGAGTGTACTGTAGGTAGGTTCACTGTCTGTGAGGGTGTACTGTGTTCAGGGGGGTTGTAGGGAGTGGGATAGGAAAGAGCATTACAATTTTTACTTTAATAATTGTTAAAAAAAAAAAAAGAATATTATCCTTTCCCTGATCTTACCTTGCAGGGAAGGGGTGGCACAATCAGTTTCGTGCTCTATTGTAAGACAGCATGAAAAATCACTATATAGATAACAATTAAATATTGTTCTTTAAACATTTCATCATGATTGATAACACTTGACCAAAAAATTACCAATGTTAACTGCTTTTGAGTTGCTGAAATATAACTATGCAAAAATCTGCAGCACAAACACTTTAAAAGCAAACAAAAAAAAATATATATATATATGAATATATAATGAATTTGCATACCTGTGAAATGGAAATAAATCTGACTAATTGCAATTTAAAACTCACTAAATTAATAACAATATTTTCAAAAATCATATTCAAAAACCTGTTACCAGTTTTGTGTACTAAATATTTCATAAGCCTCCGTTTGAAAGAAAACAACAAGCCTAGCAATGTTAGGCTACGGTTACATGATTTCCTCCATTTGGCCAGCAACAAAAATGAAAATATCTCTGGGTATATCATAGATTGTAAGCTCATTTGAGCAGAGCATTCTTTACATCTAAATATGTCCTTTTTCAATTCTAGTAAAGCATTGCAGAATGTGTTGGCACTTTATCATTTTTATTATTATTATTATTATCATTTACAAACCACCAACAAATTCCACAGTGCTGTACAATCGGTGGACTAATAGACAAGTATTTGCAACAAGACAAGTTGGACGTGCAAGAAAAGAGAGTATAGAATTCTAAAATGAGCTAGGGCAGGGGTCTGCAACCCGCGGCTCCGGAGCCGCATGTGGCTCTTTTACACCTTTGCTCCGGGGCGGATACTAGCGAGGGGAGGAGGCGCATTGTGCGCCTCGACACTCCCCACTGTGGCGGGTGCTGTACTGGCTGTGACTTCGCATGGGAGCGGTGCGTGCGTTAGTCACGCACCGTCCCGACGTCACCTTTCCACCCGCTGTCAGATCGGAGGGCAGCGGCGCGCATGCAGGTCTACGACTGCGAGGAGGAAGGTGACGTCCGTCCAGACTCCCGTCAGCAGCAGCGTGCCAGGCACCAGTGTGAGGTAAGTGAAGTGATGCCTCGGGGGGGGAGCCCAGCCCACACACTGCATTGAAGGGGGCATGTATGGTGGTCTCTGCATATTCAGGGGGCATGGAAGTGAAGTGATGCCTCAGGGGGGAGCCCGGCCCACACACTGCATGTATGGTGGTCACTACATTGTAAGGGGCATGTATGCTGGTCACTACATTGTAAGGGGCATGTACGCTGGTCACTGCATTGAAAGGGGGCATGTACGCTGGTCACTGTTTTGAAGGGGAGTGAAGAACACACACAAAAAAAGGTAACTTGTTAATTTAACGTTTATTTCTATGAGGAGGAGTAATTCTGAGGGGTCAAACAAAGAAATAATAAAAAAAAGTGACAAAAAAGTTATTTTTATAATGACGAGGATGACATTGGGCCCTCATTATTAATTATTATTTACATCAGGCACTGATTATGATTTATGGTACACTGGGGCCCTGATTAATTTTCTATGGCATTTTGGGGCATTGATTATTGGGCATAGCAAATTTTGCTATGGGGCCCTCTGATTTCTAATTACGTCCCTGTTTTGGACCCCCGGTAGGCCAGCCATGGATAAAGGCAAGAAAAGAAAATTTTCTGAAGAAAACAGAGTGTTTAATGATACATGGACAGAATCATTTGCATTCTCTACTGACAAGACTGGTTTACCAGTATGCTTAATATGTGGTGAGAAATTTGCAAACAACAAAAAGTCAAATATTGCAAGACATTTCCAGAATAAACACACAGCCTTTGCTGAAAAATATCCAGATGGAGATGAGAGACGAAAAGCCGTTGCAGAACTTATGAGGAAGGTTGATAGGAGCAAAAATAATTTCAAGAAGTGGGTGAAGTCTGCAAATTCCACAACATATGCTAGTTTTGTAGCCGCTCAGGAAATAGTCAAGCACGGGGAGTATATAAAAGAAGCATTCATTAAGATTTCGGAACATCTATACATGGACTTCAAAAACAAGAATGAAATTGTGCAGAAAATCAAAGATATGCCTCTCTCTACGAAGACTGTTAAAGACAGAACCCTAAAAATGGCAGAAAACATTAGCAAACAGCAAATTCAAGACATTAATTCACCTGTGGCGTACTCAATCGCCTGTGATGAGTCCAAAGATAAAGGTGATATTGAACAAATAGCGCTGTTCTGCCGATATGTGAACTCTTTTGGGCCACAGGAAGAACTGATTGAGCTGATACCACTAAAAGACCAAACAAGGGGTGAGGATATCTGTAAGGCTGTCCTGGACTTTTTAAGTGCTAAAGAAATAAACGCCAACCACCTGGTCTCAGTGGCTACTGATGGGGCACAGAGCATGAGAGGAGCACAGAAGGGCTTTGTGGCTCTACTGCAGAAGGCGCTGGGTAGAACGCTGCTGTCATTTCATTGCATCCTGCACCAAGAGGCATTGTGTGCTCAAACATTTCCCCCCGAATGCACAAAAGTGATGGATGTGGTCATTCAGATTGTTAATAAGATAATGGCAAAGGATTTAAACCACCGCCAGTTTCGTTTGCTATTGGATGAGGTGGAAAGCACATATTCTCACCTCCTGCTCCACAACAAGGTCCGGTGGCTGTCCAGAGGCGAGGTGCTAAAACGCTTTGTCACATGTTTGGAAGAAGTAAAAACCTTCCTGGCCAGCAAGGAGCTCACCTTTGCTGAGCTGGAACAGCCAGAGTGGCTGGAAAAATTACATTTTATGGTAGACATGACAGCCCATCTAAACACACTAAATACAAACCTTCAGGGGAAAGGAGGCACAGCCCTGCACATGCTGGAGGAGGTTTTGGCATTCGAGCACAAGTTGACAGTGTTTGTCAAAGATTTCCAGAGAGGTACACTGTCTCACTTTCCCTCTTTGAGAGAGTTCAAACAAAGTCATGATACGATAAATTTGGAATATTTCAAGTCTGCAATCACCGCAATGCAAAGCTCGTTTGGGAAACGATTCTGTGAGTTCAGAGAGGAAAAAACCACATTATCCTTCCCTGTCACTCCCCTGGCGATCGATCCATCCCTATTGAATATGACTGCATTTGCAGGTGTAAGTCAACCTGATCTTGAGATGGAACTGGCCGATATAGCTGACAAAGATATATGGGTGTCCAAGTTCAAATACTTGACCGCTACTCTTGAGGATGTTGCCCCTCAGAAGGCCATTCTGGCTCAGAATCCTAAATGGAGTGATATTGAAAACCTTCCCAAACAGGACAAACTTGTATTCGAAACATGGAATGCCATCCCCAACACTTATATAAACATGAAAAAGTATGCATTTGGAGTCCTGTCGATCTTCGGTTCCACATATGTATGTGAGCAGGTCTTCTCCAACATGAACTATATCAAAAACAAACATCGATCACGCCTCACAGATGACAGCTTGCAAGCATGTGTGAAAATGAAGGTGACGTCTTACAGCCCTGATGTGCAGACACTGAGCACTGAGGTTCAGGAGCAAAAGTCCCATTAACCAGGTAAATTAAATATTTTAATTAGCTATTAATTTGCAAAAATATATTTTGCATTGTTAGCTGAAAGTCCTTTTTTTTTCTTCAGATTGACAGCTGACTGCACGATCCTGTATATATAGCATTAAGGTAAGAAACAATATATGCAGTGTTATATTTGGTTTTGCGGCTCCCAGTTTTTTTTTTCTTTGGAAACGGGTCCAAGTGGCTCTTTTTGTCTTAAAGGTTGCAGACCCCTGAGCTAGGGAGTGGGGTAAAGTTGTATAGCTTGGAGGAAAGACAAGACAGGCCAAACCCAGGGGGAGCATGACTGCCTGGAGAGGTTGGCATGGCGACAAGGGGATACAATGTTTGGGATGCACCTGGACCGGGGACACTGGGTAATACTTACCAGACCACTGGAGAGCATGCTGTGGGAACCTAGCAGTGCTGTTTCTGGTCACCCTGAAAAAAAGCAAAACTGCTGTTAGCAATTTACAACCGCTGTTACAGAATTTGCTACTGCAGTTGGTATTTTAACATCATGGCTCATGTCCCTGACATGCCCAGAGAGGCTCTACTTACTATTCTGCAGGCCTTCCAGAGGACCCACGGCGCAAAATCCTATGCTGCGCTGCTTCACAGTGTCCAAGACGCCCAGGAGTCTCAGGAGGGGTCGGGGCCCACCAGAGGACGGCCGTTCCAGGCCGCCATCCAGATTGTCCCCCAGTCCGGCGCGGAGAGCCAGGGCTGTGCCACCAGCTGCTACCTGTCCGGGGCCGAGTGAGGCTGGCACCCTGCGGAGGAATCCAGGTTCCTGTAGAAGGAGCGGGGAGAGGCGTTCCACGCGTCAGATGGTCCGGTCGGGGCCTGGCCATCAAGATGGAGGATCGCAAGATGGTGCTGTGGGAGAGGTGAGGTCGCGCAGTCCTCACCCTTCTTTTCTGGCTGCGGCAGATGTGACGTCAAGGCGTGGGGCCGCACGCCGGAAGAGGCGGGGCGCTGCACGCCGGAACACTGGTGGCGCGTACGTGACGTCTGCGGGTCAGGGAATGCAGACGTCACAGGTCACTGCCGAACCCGGAAGTCCGGGTGAAGATGGATCTGGGGATTCCGAAACGGAGCACCGCTGGCCCCCCAAAAGTGGAGATGGCCAGCGGGTGCAAGCGGGCCGGTGGAGGAACTCACCAGTGCCTCTTTGGACCGCCAGGGAGCGGAGAGGGACGCAGGATTCCCCTCTTCTTCATAACC